ATAAACGCATTTCAGTGGAAGATTGGTTATAGGGTGAACCCTTTTTTTGAGAGGGGGTGAAATATTTGTATTTTTACTGTTAGCGTTCGATTGTATATAATTGTTTTGTAAATTTCACCATGGATATTAATCGTTTGCGAAGTAATTAATTGACTTGGGTATTGTTGATTGGGGGTTATGAGTTAGGTAACGAAAGGGTTGAGTCCAAACGAGAGACCTAACCTAACCTAACCTAACCTAACCACACGTTAAAAGGTAAGACCTAGTTAATCCTTTGGATCGCACAAGTTTCGACTTCTGAGGGTTGTTGTTCGTAGGGATGCGACAGCTGATTAACGGAAAAAAACAGATTTAAACTGAAGTGAAGGCACATTTCTCTGCCGTAGCACGTTGCAAGGCAAATAAATCGATACACTTCGTAGAAATGTCCACAACAATGAATATCCACTTTTGTCCACTTGGTCCTTCCGGTAACGATCTGAAGAAATCTATTGCTAGAGTTTGAAATCTTTGCGCATATACAGGAGTTTGGAGAAGTCCACCTGGTTTCTGGTTTGTGGCTTTGTAGCGCTGACAATCAAGGCATTTACTTACATAGGCGGTCACATATCGGTGCATCCCTATGAAGTGATACCTTTTCGCAATGCGTTGGAGAGTACGCTCAACACCATAATGAGCGGCTTCTGGTGCGTCATGATATTCACTTAGAATTCTGGCTGTTTCATGCTTCTTCTTCATCTTCTTCTGGGGAGTAGTGATATAGTACTCCCTGGGACAGGATATTACCTCGATCTGTCCACTTGGTAAATTCTGTATCGAAAGTATCTTCGAAACTTTTGATTATTTTTGCTAGTTCAGGATCTTTCAATTGTTCGTTTTTTATCTCATCCGCCTTCCTATGAGGCAATTCGATAATGACTTTTCACAACTCGCAAGCCGCTTGTTCTTCATGGTCACAAGGAGGACTAAACAAAGTATCGGCGACAACGTTCCGCTTTCCTGGTAAGTACTCTATCTCGATATCGTAACCTTGTATCAATAAAGCTCATCGTGCTAACCTACCAGTAGGTGATTTCAAACTGAGTAACCATCGTAGTGGTTGGTGATCGGTTTGCACGACTATCGGGGAGCCTTCAACGTAGTATCTGAATTTACCTAGGGCCCACACCACAGCTAAGGCTTTTCTCTCTGACGTAGAGTAATTTCGTTCTTCAGCATTCAGTAAACGGCTCGCGTATTCTACAGGATGTTCATCTTCTCCTTCACCTTGTAGCAATACGGCGCCTAATGCATAACTACTTGAATCAGTACGTATAATGTATGGCTTCGTCATACATTATAGGGGCTGATACCAGCAACTGCTTCAGTTTTTCAAATGACGTTTGGCTTTCGGGAGTCCACCGCCACATTGCCTTCTTTTTCGTTAAATCGCTGAGCAGGCGAGATACTTCTACGAAATTTTCTACAAATCGCCTATACCAGCTAGCAGTTTGAAGGAAGGATTGCACTTCTTTGACGTTCCGTGGTGATAAACGTCCACTTATCGCCGAAGTCTTCTCGGGATCAACCGAAATACCATCGGAAGTAATGTAATGTCCAATGTTTTTTACTTTGGCACTCGCGAACACGCACTTTTTACGGTTGTTCAAGTCTGTCGAACACGAGCTTCAAGTCATGTAGGTGTTCTTCAAACGTACTGGAAAGAATAATTAGTTCGTCCAAATAACTGAGAATCACGACGCTGCCGAGACCACGTCGAAACTGGTCCATTAATCGTTGAAATGTTCCGGGGGCACCTTTCAAACCGAACGGCATAAAAAGGTAACGATATGTCCTGAAGGGCGTAACGAAAGCAGTCTTATCTTTGTCATGATCAATAACTCTCACTTGATGATAACCCGATCGTAAATCAATCGTGGTCATGTGAAATATTCTTTTGGCTGCATGGAGTGAATCGTCCATTCGCGGAATCGGATACGAGTTACTTGTTGTTATGGCATTCAACTGTTGATAGTCCACGCGCAGTCGAATTCCATCATCATTCTTAGGACGAGTACGACCGGTGCGGCCCACGCACTTTCGCACTCTTCAATTATGCCTTCCGCTAACAGTCGATCCAATTCTGTTTTCAGTAATGACTTCTTAACTGGAGACATTCGATACGGAGGTAAGGCAATTGAAGGGTGATCGTTAGTGTTGATGTGGTGCTGTGCATAGGGAGTCGGTTCTCCTCCAGACTGAATATATTCTCGTGCTGATTCAGAAAGAGTAAGAGTTGAGAACGTTGATCTTCTGTAAGCATGGTCCCTTCTTTCGGACGCAGGTGTCAACCTTTTTAGTTTCGGAAGTCGATTAGGAAGCGAGATCGGAAGAATTGGTGGCAGATTCAAACATCAATTCGTAACGAACCGATTGGTTTTCTGAGAAGTACCACTTCCCATTATGAGCGTCTAGGATAACTTTCTCATCCTGTATGAAATTTATGCCAAAGATAGTTTCATTAGGCGCATCTGGGAAGATGATGAATTTGGTAGGTATACTCTTGCCTTTGACCTTCAAGTCAACACAGGTTACAAGAACATTCTCTATTTTACCTTGACCATCAGCAAACTTCAACAAAATATTTTCTTCAGAAAATGTTTGGGCTTCGCGTTTCAAAATATCATATAAGGCCTTACCAGCAACACTCTGTTTTGCCGCTGTGTCTATGAGACCTTGACAATGATGTCCTGAAATTTCTACATGAATAATTGGTCTTGAATGAGGAGCAATGAACGTGTCGATGCTGAAAAATTCCATTGAAGACGTTTCAATAGTATTACATGAAGGGCAATTAGTACGAATGAATCCCATCATACCGCATCCATAGCACGATAATGGGAAACTTATATTACTCCGAGAAGTACTATCTGATGTTGGATTGGATGAACTTTGAGTGGTGTTCGAATCACGGATATTATTCTGCTCACGTGCAGATGTTTACGGTGTTCCGTGGTCCTGAGAATTTCTGTTTGAAAGTTTCCTACATTCGTCTTTTGTGTGGCCTATGTTTTTACAGTATTGGCAGCGTATGCGTCTTTGAGTATCTTCAGTGTCTTTCGTCACGACCTTGTCACTATGGTCGAAAGTTCCTTCAATCAACCTTGAGTTTGTCAAAAGTTCACTAAAAGTTTTTACTTCATCACGTGGAACTTTCTCTCTAATTCTATGATTCAATAATCCAGAAACCATATCCAATAGAACCTCTTCTGTAAGAGTTCCAGAAGGAAGCTGTGCTAGTATTGATCGCAGTTTACAAATAAAGATATCTGTAGGAGTATTTAGGTCTTGCTCGGTTGCGAATAGTTCACGATAGACTCTATATGGTGGTTTTTGTGGACCGAATGTGGTTTTCAATAGAGCTAGCGCATCGTTCCATGTTTGCACTGTAGTCTTTACGCCTTGATATCACTTTGCCGCGAACCCATCGAACAACATCGGAATTCCTTTGAGAGCATTTGCGACGGATACTTGAGCACAATCTTTGTATATACAAACGGCATCAATGAAAGCATTCACGTCAGTCTACAGAACCGGCACAAAATGATAAGCACTTCGAAAAATTGCCGCCAGTAGTAACACCCTGTGTAGTGTTACCTGCTAGTGATATTCGCGACATGAGTTACGCGAGTTGTTCGTTAGCCAAAACTACGTTTGCCATAGTATTTCGTTTTCGAGTACGTTCCTGACGTTCAACCGCACTAAATTGTCCACACGAACGTAAAAAATACGGATGACCACCCTGTTGATCCGTGATTGTACTTGGTTTTCACAAAGTTCAGCGAGTCAAAAGTATAAAGCGTACTTACAGTTTTGCCACTACGATGCATAATATACCAAATTCCAGTTTATTGCGCTCCAACTTCGGAAGAGGAATGAAATACTCTGAAAGAATTCCGATTTTCAATTGTGGAATATCATTAACTTTAGGTCGATGATGGTCACTATCTTGCACTGATGAGTGGCTAATAAGCCCGAAACCGGTCTGCTAGTGTGCCCGTTCCATATAGGTCGAGTCTTTCAGTTGTATTGCCAATTGCATATACAGGAAATTTTCTGTGAAGATTCCTGCACTGACGCCTGTCTGATATAATCCAACTCCCTTCGTGGTATCAGCCAGGGGAGTAGTTGTTTTCTNTACTACTGGCGGTAATTTTTCGAAGTGCTTATCACGTTTTGACGGTTCTAAAGACTCTGATGTGAATGCTTTCATTGATGCCGTTTGTATATATAAAGATTGTGCTCAAGTATCCGACGCAAATGCTCTCAAAGGACTTCCGATGTTATTCGATGGGTTCGCGGCAAAGTGGTATCAAGGCGTAAAGACTACAGAGCAAACATGGGACGATGCGCTAGCTCTAATGAAAACCACATTCGGTCCACAAAAACCACCATATAGAGTCTATCGTGAACTATTCGCCACCGAGCAAGACCTAAATACTCCAACAGACATTTTTATTTGTAAACTGCGTTCAATACTAGCACAGCTTCCTTCTGGAACTCTTACAGAAGAGGTTCAATTGGATATAGTTTATGGGTTATTGAATCGTAGAATTAGAGAGAAAGTTCCACGTGATAAAGTAAAAACTTTTAGTGAACTTTTGACAAACTCAAGGTTGATTGAAAAAACTTTCGACCGTACTGACAAGGTCGCGACGGAAGACATTAAAGATACTCAAAGACGCATTCGCTGCCAATACTGTAAAAACATAGGCCACACAAAGGACGAATGTAGGAAACTTTCAAACAGAAATTCTCAGGACAACGGAAAACCTAAAACATCTGCGCGTGAGCAAAATAATACCCGTGATTCGAACACCGCTCGATTTAGTTCATCCAATCCTACCTCAGATAGTACTTCTCGGAGTAATACCAGTTCTCCATTATCGTGCTATGGATGCGGTATGATAGGATTCATTCGTACTAATTGCCCTTCATGTAATAATATCGAAACGTCTTCAATGGAATTTTTCAGCATCAACACGCTGATTGCTCCTCGTTCAAGACCAATTATTCATGTAGAAATTTCAGGACATTACGGTCAAGGTCTCATAGACACAGCGGCAAAACAGAGTGTTGCTGGTAAGGCCTTATATGATATTTTGAAACGCGAAGGCCAATCATTTTCTGAAGAAAATATTTTGGTGAAGTTTGCTGATGGTCAAGGTAAAATGGAGAATGTCCTTGTAACCTGTGTTGACGTGAAGGTCAAAGGCAAGAATATACCTACCAAATTCATCATCTTCCCAGATGCGCCTAATAAAACTCTCTTTGGCATAGATTTCATACAGGATGCGAAACTCATCCTAGACGCCCATAATAAGCAGTGGTACTTCTCAGAAAACCAATCGGCTCGTTACGAATTGATGTTCGAATCTGTCACCAATTCTTCCGATCTCGCTTCCTACTCGACTTCCGAAACTAGAAAGGCTGATAACTTGCGTTCGGAAGAAGGAACCATGCTCACAGATGATCAACGTTCTCGACTCCAACTCTTTCTGAATCAACACGAGAATATATTCAGTCTGGGGGGAGAACCGACTCCCTATGCACAGCATCATATCAACACTGGCGATCACCCTCCGATTGCCTTACCTCCGTATCGAATGTCCCCAGCTAGGAAGTCATTACTGAAAACCAAGTTGGATCGACTGTTAGCTGAAGGCATAATAGAAGAGTGCGAAAGTCCGTGGGCCGCACCGGTTGTACTCGTTCCTAAGAAAAATGGTGGAATTCGACTGTGCGTAGACTATTAACGGCTGAATGCCATAACAACAAGTGACTCGTATCCGATTCCGCGAATGGACGATTTACTCCATGCAGCCAAAAGAACATTCTACATGACCACGATTGATTTACGATCGGGTTATCATCAAGTAAGAGTTATTGATCGTGACAAAGATAAGACTGCTTTCGTTACGACCTTCGGGACATATCGTTACCTTTTTATGCCGTTCGATTTGAAAGTAGCTCCCGGAACATTTCAACGATTAATGGACCAGTTTCGACGTGGTCTCGGCAGTGTCGTGATTCTCAGTTATTTGGACGACCTGATTGTTCTTTCCAGTACATTTGAAGAACACCTACATGATTTGAAGCTCGTGTTTGATAGACTTGAACAATTTAAACTTCGCGCCAACCGTAAGAAGTGCGTGTTCGCGAGTGCCAAAGTAAAATACATTGGATATTACATTACTCCGGATGATATTTCGGTTGATCCCGAGAAGACTTCGGCGATAAGTGAACATTTACCACCACGGAACGTCACAGAAGTGCAATCCTTCCTTCAAACTGCTAGCTGGTATGGGCGATCGCAGAAGTATCTCGCCCGCTCAGCGATTTAACGAAAAAGAAGGCAGTGTGGCGGTGGACTCCCGAATGCCAAACGTCATTTGACAAACTTAAGCAGTTGCTGGTATCAGCCCCTATACTTAGACAAAGCGACGAAACGAAGCCATACATTATACGTAGTGATGCAAGTAGTTATGCATTAGGCGCCGTATTGCTACAAGGTGAAGGAGAAGATGAACATCCTGTAGAATACGCGAGCCGTTTGAATGCCGCAGAACGGAACTACTCCACGTCAGAGAGGGAAGCCTTAGCTGTGGTGTGGGCCCTAGGAAAATTCAGAGGCTACGTTGAAGGTTCCCCGATAGTCGTGCAAACAGATCACCAACCACTACGATGGTTACTCAGTTTGAAATCACCTACTGGTAGGTTAGCACGATGGGCTTTATCGATACAAGGTTACGATATCAATATAGAGTACTTACCAGGAAAACGGAACGTTGTTGCCTATCTCGTCCTCCTTGCGACCATGAAGAACAAGTGGCTTGCGAGTTGTGCGAGGTTATTATCGAATTGCCTCATAGGAAGGGGGATGAGATAAGAAACGAACAATTGAAAGATCCTGAACTGGCAAAAATAATCAAAAGTTTCGAAGATCCTTCGGATACAGAATTTGCCAAGTGAACAGATCGAGGTTATATCCTGTCCCAGGGAGTACTATATCATTACTCCCCAGAAGAAGATGAAGAAGAAGCACAGTTAGTAGTACCTATTCATGAAAGAGACAGAATTCTGAGTGAATATCATGACGCACCAGAAGCCGCTCATTATGGTGTTGAGCGTACTCTCCAACGCATTGCGAAGAGGTATTACTTTGTGGGGATGCGCCGATACGTGACCGCCTAAGTAAATGCCTAGATTGTCAGCGCTACAAGGCCACAAACCAGAAACCAGGTGGACTTCTACAAACTCCTGTATATGCGCAAAGATTTGAAATCCTAGCAATAGATCTCTTCGGACCGTTACCGGAAGGACCAAGTGGAGAAAGGTGGATATTCATTGTTGAAGACATTTCTACGAAGTGGGTCGAGTTATTTGCCTTGTAACGTGCTACTGCAGAGGAATGTGCTCTCACTCTAGTTAATGAAATATTTTTCCGCTATGGATTTCCTCGGAAAATCATTAGCGACAACGGCGAACAGTTTGTATCCGCTGGTATGCAACAGTTATGCTATACCTTGGATATCTAGGAAACATTTACCCCTCTTTATCACCCATCAGCCAACATGGGCGAGAGGAAAAATCGTGATCGCAAACCACGACTCGCTATCCTGGTGAGGAGCGATCATCGATCATGGCCTGAGAAGCTTGCAACGACCAGATTTGCCATGAACTCCGTATGGTGTGAAACTAAAGGAAATACTGCTGCCTATTTAACATTTGGGCGCGAGTTATGAACTCCTGACGACGTGAAACATGATTTCAGGTTCGTCACGGATACCGAGAATTTCATTCCCCAGATAACTCCTTATCTAAAGAAAATTTCAACGACTTGGCAAGAGGTCAAAGCATTGAATGAAAAAGCACAAGACCGTCGAAAGGTCTATGCAGATGTCCTTTCAAGGTTGGTGACCTAGTGTGAGTGCAGACACGCGCGCTTAGCAATGCTGCAAAGGACTCACTGCAAAGTTTTATCCGAAAAGAGATGGACCTCACAAGATACTGAGGCAGGTATCCGCAGTCAGTTATGAAGTTGCCTATCCCGATAACCCAACCACACCATTGGGGGTTTACCATGTCTCATCTCTCACCCATGCAAAAGCCAGCGAGGTTGAGAAACCCGCACTTGGTTTAAGAAAAAAGGGGATAACATTCGCCTCAAATTTCCGAATAGTGAGAACGTGTATTAAGACAACCCTGTTTACATCACTAAGAATCCCGACTAGGATATCTGTTTCATAATTCAGGATTGCGTGTTGCAAGCCCAATTAAAACAGCTTTACAGCCATTATTGGGATTTATATATGATAACATCTAATTGAAAAGCACGGGTGTAAATTATCCATTGTACGGATATTTATGACCGAATTTACTTAATAGAATGTCTGAACCTGTAATTAATTCACCACAACAATAATGGTGACATAATCATAATAAAGTGCCAATGGAAAAATAATGAAGGTTATAGAGATTTGGTACATCCTCCTCTAATAAGTACAATAAAGTGGAAAATATTTAATGAGTTGATTATATTTGTTGATAATAATTTTAGCAGTTTCAGTTTCGAGGAAATCATTGATGAAATAATTTGAGGTAAATGTAACATACTTTTATGTAACATTGGACACATCTACATTCCTGGCCATTGCGAAGTCAAAGTACATATTTTGCTTCTTTGGCAGATTTTTTAACCAAATGTAATGCATGAAGGCAATACAAACAAGGCAAATAATGAAATATGAGCTATTCGAAATTTTTGACAAAATTTCATTTTTTCTTTGGTGCCAATATAACTTCTCGAAACAACTAGAAATCATCATGATTATTCACAGTCGAGTCGGCTTTCTTGGGAGGCAGGTTAGGTTAAGTTAGATCCAAAGTGACGGGTCTATTCGACCCTCCACCGCAACCCGTAGGGATTTATTGTGGCTCACACCTATTCACACTTGACTAACTGAACCCAGCTTCTTAAAGAAGCCGATAAGTTTGTATGGTGAGTGGTTTTTCTGGTCAGATGGTAAGAAAATGGCTCTGCCGAACTCTAAAAACCTGACTTGGTACCCAGCGGGGCAGGCACAATGTATATGCTCTGATGTTTCATCTTCAATGAGGTGGTCGGATAGTCAAGGTGCAAGATTCCGACCTTGATAACCGCAACAACCTTCCCATCTGAGGATTTTTGCATATCAGCTACACCTGACGATGATGCCTCAAATTCACCCGTTCAGAGCTTTTTCGCCTCTGGTTTTGGTGAATTATCACTTGAGCGCAAACGTTTGCTAACCTGCTCATGGGGGGTTTGTTCCTCCACCTGAGACAGATTCTGCGTACGCCGCTCAAGAATTTGTTGCAAGACGATTTCATAAGGTACCCCACTCTTGAGGAGACGAGTCAGTCGTTTCTTGACTGCAACACCAAACATTTTTTTTAGGCTCAGTTATTGGAACAGGCGTTGGAGAGTTGAGAATCTCTCGGACCAGATTTGAATTTACAGGGAGATCAGTTGTAGTCGTAAGCTCGACACCCATCTCCTCTGTAGACTCGCTCCTGATCTAAATTTACAGGGAGGTCAGTTGGCGTCGTAAGCTCGACATTCATCTCCTCTTTAGACTCAGCGTCAGAAAGAATTTTTAAGTTTACTCTGTCCATAAAAGTCCCACGAGTAGCTAGGAAAAGAAGGTCAACCACGGCAGAGCCCCGCATTACCGTGACGAAGTGATGATACGACAAGAGGGCGTCCGGTATCTCGAAGGTTCCGTTGAGACAGCTGATAGGCTCAGGGTCATTCATCCTCTCGGCACACACACACCTTAGGATTAACTCATCGTTGGGATGCCATTCAGTTAAGGAATAACAGAACTACAAGTGATTCTGTCACTCCCGTATCCAGCAGTGTTACGTGAAAGCAGGCATCCGATGGCCGGTTTGCTCAACCCCCACATCCCAAGCCAATGCCAAAAACAGCATGCACAGTAGTTCAGGCAGTGAAAGATGAACAAGGACAGCCTACCCGCCAGAATCAATCTATCTAATGTGATCCTCAAAACACATATATAGATTTTTTACATTATTTTTAGCTTGGAAAAATGTGCTGGAAATGGCCGATACTTAATGAAAATCCATTCAAGCTTGTTAATACTAACTAAATTCAACTTGATCACGGCATTATACGAATAATCAAAGGGTATAGGTATAAACTAGTTATAGATTCAGTAACGAAATTTCACAAAGTAAAGTCAATTAAATGCATATGAAATGAAAAAAAACTACCTGAATTTATGTATCAACTAATCACCAACTTCAAAATTATTGAATCTGTTTCCTTATTTTGAAATTGGTAATTAGTTGATTCGTTAACTGAAGAAATTTTCAACGTCTGTGAAAAAACATATTTTTTTGAGTCAATATAACTGAACTGATATGATAATGAGTCTTATGTTCGAAAATAACAATGTTAATAATTTCTCAAGCCACCTGAGGATCATCATGTCTATTTAGGAATCACACGTTAAAAGGTGAGACCTTGTTATTCCTTAGCTCGCACAAGTTCTCAACTTTTGAGAGTTGTCGTTCGTATGGGGGCGACAGCTGATGAACGGAAAAACAGATTTTAAAACAGATTTTTGAAACAGATTTACAGTAGGGTCAACTTGGTTACAAGTCAGAACACGAAAGTCTTGTAAACAACAGTAATATACCTGAAAAAAGTGAAAGTCTGAAAAAGCAAAACATACTTATATGACATGGA